ATAATGTCGTTTGTGAAGAATAATTTATGTGATCTTTTACTAGACATCCTGTGATAATTAATTAGAAGGACCCTATACCCAAAACCATCATTTTTGGAAGTGAAAAGAACAAAATGAAGATGAAGCTCAACCAAACTGAAGACTGTGTCAAGGAAATTTAATCTTTTGTGGTGGTGTCTGCTCAATTCTCAAAACCTTTGTGCTCTACCTACTTATAACTCTAGGGAACATCAAAGAAATAATAAGGAGAAGGCATTAATTTAGAGTTGGGTGGGGTGAAGACTAAAGGAAGATACCAGTTTAACGAATTTTAACAAAAAGCTAAGGTGGACCTTCACAATTCAACAATACATGCAAAAAATGAGTGTGTGGAAGTTGGAATGCGCTCAAGTGAAAGAGGTGGAATGCCATTGACTTGTTAACTTAATTTCCTACTCTGGTCCCTCGTGGAAACCCAAGTCAATTAACCATCTTTGGAAATCTTGTTTCCTGGAAGCATCCTATTAAAGTTATTGAGAATGCAACAGAGAAAAGAAAACTGACCTTTGATTTAACTTATAAAAAAGAGCCCCTTAAATCCAAAACCTAAAAAAGAAAAAAAAAATTAGTAGCATGATTTCTATTTAATTTATCTCATTTTTATAATTTGATTAAGGAATAACTATTTTATCAACTAAAAATGTCAATAAGAATAAGAGCATTAAACTTTCAGAATTCATATTTCAGTTTTATTTCTGTTGCAGCTAGCATGTTCTTCATTCCTTACAAACTAAATGCTGCAATCAAACAGGCAAAACACTAAAATGATAGAATAAAACACACATAAATTATAATTTAGCACACATAAATCAGAATTCAGTTTGTACTCCTATCTGGTTTCATAGCAAGCTGCAGTTAGCTCTTCTTACAATAGAAGATGCAAACCATACAAACAGACTTTGATTTGTTATTTGTTATTATCATTGCACCAGCAAGACAGAATCAAGAAGTTGAGTCCTCGAAGTGTGAAGAAACAACCCCCCAAGGTGATTTACTCTCTTAATTTCAGAGAAGTAATGCAACATGATTGTGTGAAATGGTTATTTTAAAATTATGGTGCATGTAATTATTTGGACTATGATTGTGTTACAAAAAGTTACTAATTTGGACTATATTATTAAAAGAACCCTCTAATGCCTATCTTTTTATGTGTTTAGCATAAAAGAAGTCATAAATCTATGACAGTCTAAGCTTAGGAAGATGCCAGTTTGGAAAATTTTAACAGAAAGGTATGCTGGGCCAGATAGTTTGATATCAGAATTCATCAATACAAATAACTAGGAGTGTGGAACACGCTCAAGTCAGCTTAAAAGAAATGGCAGACCACTGACTTGTTGACTTACCTGCTCTGGTCTCTCTCAAGCTAGAAAACACAAGTTAATTAAGACATATTTGAATTAATCAACTTTGGAAATTTTCGTTTCCTCTCTTGGAAGCATCCATGCAACAGAAAACAAGACTTGACTTTTAATTTATGAGCAGCTCCTTAAATCAAAAACCTAAAATGAAAATTCAAATTTATGTTTACCCAAAACCATTATATTCATTTAGAGTGATTATAACAAAATCAAGATTAATTCAGCTGAACAAAAATGAAAACTGTCAGAGAAAAATGGTCCAAATTTTACCGTTCGGTTCTGCTATTTGAGTTTCAGAACCTTGCTGCCTGGATATCTAAATAGCTGCAATGGAACACAGATTGAACAATGTCAACAGGGAACATAAAAGAATTAAGAGGATGCATTAATTTATTGTAGGTACACCATATATGATATCTCCTCCAGATTTTGATGCAAAGGCCATTGAGTTGTTAAGTTCAATAAGAATGGAATTTATTGTAGATGGACCATGCATACATGAATGGACAACTTTCATGATTGCGTGAAATGGTTATGTTGATATTATGGATGAATGTAATTATTTGGACGATGATTGTGTTGCAAAAAAATTACTTATTTGGACTATATTATTAAAAGAACCCTCTAATTCCTATCTTATTATGTGTTTAGCATAAAAGAAGTTATAAAGCTATGACAGTCTATGTTAAGGAAGATGCCAGTTTGGAAAATTTTAACAGAAAGGTACACTGGGCCAGATAGTTTAATCTCAGAATGCAACAATACAAATAACTAGGAGTGTGGAACACGCTCAAGTCAACTTAAAAAAAATGAAAGACCATTGACTTGTGGACTTACCTGCTCTGGTCTCTCACAAGCTAGAAAACACAAGTCAATTAAGACAGAATTGAATTAATCAACTTTGGAAATTTTAGTTTCCTCTCTTGGAAGCATCTATGCAACAGAAAACAAGACTTGACCTTTGATTTATGAGCAGGAGCTCCTTAAATCAAAAACCTAAATGAAAAATGAAATTTATGCTTAGCCAGAACAATTATACTCATTTAGAGTGATAAGAACAAAATCAAGATTAATTCAGCTGAACAAAAATGAAAACTATCAGGGGAAAATGGTCCATGCCTTTTGGTTCTGCCATCTGAATTTTAAAACCTTTCTGCTTGTATACATTAATAGCTGAAATGGAACACACAGATTGAACAATAATGTCAGCTGGGAACATAAAAGAATTAAAAGGATGCGTTAATTTATTGTAGGTACACCATATATGATATCTTCTCCAGATTTTGACGTGAAGGCCACTGAGTTGTTAAGATCAATAAGAAAGGAATTTATTGTAGGTGGAACATGTATACATGAATGGACAACTTCGAGATCACCACAAGTCAAGAAAGAATCCAATTAATTTATTGTGAGTAGACAATGTATATAATGACAACTTGGTGACCACCATAAGTTGGAATTTTCTCCAGATTCCTTGTTTCTCCTGTAGGTATGTATATTTTCTAAGAGATATTGGATTGTGGAACTTAATAATGTGCACTAAATTCTTCTAAAGGAAAATAAAGAAAAAACAGTGGAACAGTCCAACGAACATCCCATAAAATCATTACTACCAAAGGTCATAAAGCTTAAAGCTTTCATAACACTCTCTCAATGTGATAGGAAGGGAATCTAACCAAGAAAAGAAAGAGAAACACCCAATTATAGCATTTAGTGGCTAAGCCGCTAAGGTCAAATTGCTGAAGGCTGTCAAAAAATGATTAGGGACCAATGGGACCTGTTCAGATTAAATAAACACTTCATTGTAAGGTTTGTAGATGTTGCAATACCGAGGTTAGGAAGAGAAGGCTATTTTGCTATTGATCTACTGAATTAGCCGCTTTCTCTAAGACAAGTTAGGAAAAGAATTCATTATAACTTTCGTATGTGAAAGTGGTCAGAAGCATTATATTTGCCCCTTTCGTGATACCTTGACTCCAGTCCCCTAGGGCAGAACCTTGTGGTTAAGAGCTTGGGTCTCCAAATTGGAGGTCACAAGTTTGAATCTTAGAAGGGATGGAGAAGGATTTGGAAAGGGTAACAAACAAAAACAGACAGAAATTGCTTGCACTGTTGTTTCCATTGAAATATTAAACTTGCACATAACATACCCACTTCACAGAGAAAGCAAGAACTAACCTTTGATGCGAACCAGCAGCACTTTAAACACAAAAACCTGAAAGAAAAAAGTTGAAACCGCATGAGTTTATAGAATATTTATTGAATTATTCACAGAAAACATAAGGGATTATCTAGTTTTGTGATTTCTGGGGATGAAAGAAACAGGGGAAGAGAAAAAAGAAATTACCCGTTTGATTGACGACTTGAATCTCGGGCCCTCCACTTCCGTCCCTTTTGAGAGGAAACAAGGGCTGCTGAGACTGAGAGGAACATGGGAATGGCTTCGACGTTTTTAATCAACCATGTCAGGTTCTCCACCTAATGCCCAAAACCCACTCCATTTTTCACCTTATTTATTTTTACTGTGTACCTCACAATCAC